CCACATACCCCGTCTGTCCACAGGCTGCCCAGGACTTCTGCAATACCACAAACTTAGATTCAACACAACATCTCAAACTAAACCAGCCACACACAAATATTTCATTTCATCAGAAGCTGTTTATGGATGTGCCAGCCAGCATCAGCTGTAAACAGCATTAACACATTTCAGAATGCAGTGACAAAATGAAAGCACTTACAGACTGGAAGGCATTGCACTGGGAGCACTCTGTTGTCACTACAAATTCCTCTAGCAGCCAGCAGGGGGCAACCACAGGCTTCACTGCTGCAACAGAGCAAGAGAAGCAGAGGCCAGTCTTAGGGAAAAACAGCTTCATTTCCTGATGCATGTTGGTTCAAATTAGAGCATTTTGTCCAGAGCCCTACCTGCGGATTTCTCTTCACTCAGCAGAGCTGCTCCAAACACTCTGAAACACAACAGAACATTTCAAAACATCAGACATGGTTTGGGTCCATTTCAGGTTTCTATCTGACCCCCCCCTCCCCAGAACCTTAAAACCACCTAAAGGAATCATAAAATCTCCTACACCACTAGATCTCACTACAGCCTCCTACCAGATATCCTGAACTTCATAAGCGACGGCTAAAACCACCTGAAGGACCTGCCCTGTATGGAGGCATCTACATCTCTATGTTGTTATCAGACTGTATGATAAACTAACCTCTGACCTCAGTGCACAGACTGACCTGAGGGAGACAAGGCCCCAGAACAGAGCGTGCAGGACGAGGACTCGAGGCCGACAACATGCCACGGGGATCCGACAATCACTCTCCATCAGCCTGCTCCTCCACCAGGATGACACCACAGCCACCCTGATGCTTTGATACTGGTAACTGACTGGTTTTGGACCTGTTTCCTGTCTGCTTGCAGCTGGTCTCCTGACGGTCTGTTTTCATGGTGATCGGACTGAACCCAGTATTTTGTTTAGAGGCTCCAGACTGCTGAACGCTGAACGGTAAAACAGATCCAACCATTAGTCAATCTGTCTGGTTGTTCTGACCAGCACTGTCCTAATCAATAACAGCATGTTCACTCTTCAAAGAACCAGATTTAACCCCATTTACACAAACGTAACTCCATATTAACGTATGCATAATCTAAAACTACTGTTTGTTTACAACATTTATTTCATACAGAAAAGCTTTTTCATTAATCCATTATCAATTTTCTCACAGAGCCAAAAATGAAACTCGTGAATCTTAGCCCGAAGTGTCTTCAAATGTCTTGCTGTGTTTCAGCAACCAAGATCAAAGATTCCAAGGACCCAAACTGTAATTCATAATATTTGTTTCTAGATTTCGTAAAAAAACACTATTTATTAATGTTATCAAATCAGTGCTCAGTGATTTTTCTGGAGATCGATCATCACTGTTGCCTTTAAATAACAACTAATCTACAATCAAGCCATGCCACAAATGTGATAAACTGGATTTTAAGTTAGACAATCGATCAAAAATGTTTATCGTTTTAGAAACCTCTGACGTCACTGATTCACAAACAAAGCTATCAGGCGTTAGCGTGTGAGCTAACATGCTAATACCGTTGATCTGTAGCAGTCGAGTGCCAACAACAGAGCAGAATAAATTTAGGACGAGAAAATTTTTTGAGAAAAATATTAACTCTGTAATAAAACGTTACAGTGACAGTCCAGATGTTTCCTGCTAATTCTAACAGCCTGCTAACATCGTATATACTGTACCTTATATACATGCTAACGCTGGCTATCTTGGCTCCAGTTCTAAACACTCACCATAATCCGCTGAAACAGTCGCCATTTTAAACTCGCCGTGGGAACGGAGAAGAAGAGAAAACAGTTTACAAGCAGCGGAAGGAGACAAAATGACCGGTAAATCTCCCGTAATACAGAAATAAAATTCAATCCGCCAACTGTAACCGAATCTCACCGGAGAGCCACAACTTAACGTCAATGACACAGGTAGTTTTTCCGGCAGTGTTCCTTCTGAGTAAAAGTACCACTGCCCTGTTAGACAACATATGGTATGTATTTTGCGACAAAATAAAAGCAGCTGGCACGTTATTTGTCATACATTTCTTTGGTTACGTTAACAACCTTGTGTAGTTGTAACGAGTCTCACTTTAAATACTTTTAGAAATTTTGTAGGCAGCGAGAGCTAATACAATGACTTTTATTATGAAGGTCAAAATGCGTCACACCGTTTCCCGTTCCTGTATGCTGGAGATTTAAGTCAGATAAAACGTCATCATAGCGTCTCGGCAGCGCCTGTTTGTCGGTGCTGCACATTGTAGTCTGGCGTTTGATAAGATGTTGCTTTTTTACATATTCACATCATCACCTTATTTATTCAGGGAAAAGACCAGTTGATAAGTTGATAGCAAACTCTCATTTTCAATGGTTAAATTACAAACAATTAACACAGTCAAAACCGTAATAAATATATACACATGAATCAAATAAAATCAATATTAAGAATCCAGAATCACAAGTCACACATTAAAAACAATAACGTATACACAAAATCAACATAAATAAAATCATATTAAAACATCGTATCTAGTGATGGTCCTCTGACACCCGAGGCTCCGACACATGCGCGGTAGCGCATGAAGCAATTGTATCGAACCACTGGGCCAAGGCGTGTCTGGG